GCCACCAGTAGTAGGAGCAGCAGGAGTGGTAGTAGTAGTAGCGCTGCCACCCCTATAGCCCCAACCAGCGTACCACTCACGCAGCTGCTGGGGCGTGAGGGACCCACGCAGACGTCGCCGGGGCTGCATCTGGCTCCGGAAGTAGAAGCAGGAGCAGGACTAGCAGCAGGAAGGCAGGCAGCCAGGCAAGCCAAAAGGCAGGCAGGCAGGCAAGCAGGCGACGCGCAGCGTGCTAGCAGGGCAAGAGCTCACCAGTGGTGGGAAGAGTAGGCTCGGCGACTCAGCGGCTCGGCCGACTCGGGCGGCTCGGCGGCAGGGCGGCTCGGCAGCAACTGCAGCTCAGCAGCTCAGCGACCCGGCGGTACGGCGGCAGGGCGGCTCGGCTGCAGGGCGGCTCGGCGGTGGGGCGGCTCGGCTGCTGCAGGTGAGCGACTCGGCTGCTGCAGTGGGAGATGACGGAGGAGGAGAAGCAGGGGAGGCCACACACCTGTCCCCCGAAAAGGGGGGGTGGTGGGGGCCGGTAGGTGCAGCGGCTCGGCTGCTGCTGGGCGGCTCGGCTGCTGCTGGGCGGCCCGGGTGGCCCTGCTGCAGTGTAGGGGCAGGGCCAGGACAGGGGACGGCGGGCGCGTCAAGGTGCAGCGGCGGAGCCGGAACAGGTGCAGCCGCGGGGCCGGGACAGGTGCAGCGGCGGGCCGTCAGGGTGCAGCGGCGGAGCCGGGACAGGTGCAGCGGCGGGGCCGGTACAGGTGCAGCGGCGGGCCGGGACAGGTGCAGTGGCGCACGGGCGGCGCACGAGCGGCTCACGGGCGGCTGAAGGCGGCGCACGGAAGGCGCGCACGCGGCCTGGGGCCTGGCGAGCGGCGCGCAGGCCGCGTAGGGCAGCGCGCGGGCTGCGTAGAGCGGCGCGCGGGCTCGCGTAGGGCAGCGCGCGGGCGCTAGGGCGGCGCGCGGGCTGCGTAGGGCGGCGCGCGGGCGCTAGGGCGGCGCGCGGGCACTAAGGCAGCGCGCGGGCTGCTTAGGGCGGCCGCAGGCTGCGTAGGGCGGCGCGCGGGCTGCTAAGGGCGGCTTGCGGGCTGCAAAGGGCGGCACGCTGGCGGCTAAGGGCCGGAACGAGCGGCGCGCGAGTGTGAAAGAGAGAGCCCGGAGCGCGCTCCGGGCAGAAAAAAAAAAATTTCAGTAGTGGTGGGCCCTAAGCACAGTTCCCACAGGGGAACCTGCTCTATACCATGTGAAAGAGTGAACGAGGAATGATTGACTAAGTCAGAGTTGGGTACAAAAGCAACCCTAGAAAGGCTGTACCCCATATGTGCTACCCCACTATAGCCTACAAACATGCATCAGCTATAGTAATCTGACACCTGGTCGTCGTCGATTGACTCACGAAAATGGCGCATTTCGCAGCATGCAAAAAATAGATCACAGCCGAAGAAACAGCACGACTCTTCATCGCCACCGTCGTTCGACTGCACGGGATACCATCAGCGATCATCAGCGACCGCGACACGAAATTCACCAGCAACTTCTGGCGGAACCTGTGGCAGCAGTTCGGCACACGACTACAGTTCAGTTCTTCATACCACCCCGAAACGGACGGACAGACAGAACGGACAAACCAGACCATGGAACAGCTCATCCGGGCCACGTGCGACGACCCGAACACGTGGGAACAGCAACTGCCACTCATTGAATTCGCGTACAACAACTCGCCCTCCGCCACGACCCAACAGTCACCATTTTACCTGAACTACGGACAGGACCCAACAGTACCCATGACACCGAATCCCGACAACCCCGTCCCACGCGCACAGCAATTCGCCGAAATCTTGCAGGCAGCACGGACCAGGGCAGCAGACGCAATTAAAAAAGCGAACATCATCGCTAAGCGCAACGCCGACCGCCACCGCAGACCCGTCACTTACCAGCCCGACGACTTAGTTTTACTCGACACCCAAAACCTCCGACTGCCCATTACCCCAAAACTCCGCCCCCGATATTAGGGGCCATTTCGAATAAGCCATATGATCACACCCGTCACCGCCCACCTCCTCCTCCCTGCTGACTGGTACGTCAGCCCGTCATTCCACGTCAGCCTACTGCGACCTTACATCCCATCCACGAGCCAACTACCACGCAATCGCCCAGCTAGCATGATGCGCCCCCCCACCGAACCAATCATCACTCCTGAAAAAATCCTCAGCCACCGAGTCCGCGACCCTCGGGGAGCCCGAAGGATCGAATTCCTAATTCGCTGGAAGGACCGCACGCCCACAGAAGATAACTGGGTCCCCCTGGATAAAATCGAGAACCACCCTGTCTTCACCGAGTATCTGCGAAGCCGAAATTTCCGCGACGTACATGCGCTCTCGTAAGAGGGGCCTCCTTGGGGAGGGGGGTAGTGTAAGGAAAATTCCTTTTTCCTTACGTCGCATCCCTGCTCAGCGCGTACATCACTGTAGCACCTCAGTCAGCACTGTTACCACTCGCATCGACAACCCGCCCGCCGTTTTCGCACGTCGCACCCCGACCTCACGGCTCGGCGGTAACCCGCGCTCCGGACCTCCGCTTCGACATTTTCCCAACCTCAGTCCCAGGCCCGTCGCGCGACAACCACAGTCCACTTAGGCCGCGTAACTTTTTCACCTTTCATCGTCCGGACGGAGGCCCCGTCCGGACTTCTGTAGGGTAACTAATTTCGTAACATTCCGTTTAGATGTTCGCAAGACCCCCTGCGACGTCGCTACCGTCCGGACACAATCTGACACTTTCCTGCCAAAAAGTGGTCCGGACTAACCTGCTGACTCCGTCCGAACGGCATTTCGGACGGTCCGTTTTATCTGCGCTGTGATTCGGCCACGAATTGAATTATTTTCCAACTATTAGGATGCCGTCAAATTTTGGTGGCGAAATCTCCAAGTGCTATACGATTTCTGTAATGCGTGTTATTTTTTGTGGCGAGATTCTACATTTTCGATAGGGGAAAAAGTTGCACAATTGTGGTCCGGATGCCCTATCGTCCGGACCTGCTTCCCAAACGTCCGGACGGAGCTCCGTCCGGACGTTTTGGGGGCTCCGTCCGGACATCTGCCAAAAAGGGAAAAAGTTACGCGCCCTTACCGTTACCACTGTAGTTTCGCTATATAAGCTTCGCTCATTCCTTCGCTCATTGTATTCTTGCCTCGATAGTGCAATCCTCGTTCGTTCACTCCATTGCACTCGTAACACAACCACACTCCAATGCATCCATGGTATGACTTCTAGGTTCCTCCCGATCAAGCGACGCACTTTTCCAGTCACTTGCTGAAATGACGACCCCAATTTGCGAGTGAGCAACCTTGGCCGCCTTTCTTTTGTGCTCGAATGATTTGGATTATGGGCGTGATTGACTGACAATGGGTACGACTGACGTTTTTTTGTGAACTGTTCGTTCGGGTTAGACTTTCAGACGGTTTCAGTCTGAGACCTGACTGACGACGATCGGCGACGGTTTCAGTGTCAAATGACGTTCCGCGTTTGACGGACGAGTTGTCGACTTGATAGTACCGGCGACTAACCGACGGCGGCGTTCCGCCAGCTTCGCGACGTTCCCCTCCAATCGCGCCGTTCTGGTTACCACGTCGACGAATTAGTGCTCGCATCGCGGCCCTCGGCCAAGCCTCTCTCCCAAACATCTCAACATCCGACCCCCTTTCGTTCTTTGAGGCTTCTCATAATCCGATCCCGTTTCTTTAATGATAGATTATTCTCCGCAAGCCATGGCGGCATCTTTACCCCGTCATGCCCGATCATGCATTCTTCCCCGCTGCTTCCGAAACACCCTCCTCTTGCCCCTCCTCCTGCCCCTCCTCCTCCTACTGACGCCGCCGCCGCCATTCCCCGCGTCAATGCTACTATTCCCAACGTCAATCTTCTCAACGCGACTCGCCATTCCGTCCTGCCGCGCCGCCGCCGCCTTCGCCGCGGCTCACGCGATCCGCGGGCCGTCAGCCTCGCGTGACGTCGAGCTGACGTCAGCGCGGAGCCACGTGGCTTCCATCCGTAGGACAGCTGAACAATCTCGTCGCCGCGTGCTGCTGCCGCGAGAGTCGCCCGAGGCGTTGGGATCAAGCATGCAGCTTCACGAGGAACCTAAATATCCAAAGCCGAGTTTTTCTGATAATAGGTCTGCTGTTGGAACGGCAACAGCTGACCAGGCTTCTCGTCGCCGCATGCTGCTGCCTCGGGAATCGCCTGAGGAGTTCGGGTCGGGCATGCAGCTTCACGAGGATTTGATGCCGCTGTGGGACATGGCGGCGCGCGTTGCCATTAATGGCACTGTGCTTGTCGTTGTCTCCAATGCTGGTAAGGGAAGGGAGTGAAGTTACCCGGCATTTCCAAGGGTTAAGATCAGGGCTTGAGATCAGGCATGCAGCTTCACGAGGACCTGATGCCTCTGTGGGACATGGCGGCGCGCGTTGCTGTCAACGGGACTGTTCTTGTTGTGGTTTCGAACGCAGGTAAGGGGTTCAATCGAATGGATATGGATTTATGTTAGTGCGCTCCCTTCCCAAGACTGCCGAGACTTTTGAGTCTCTGAAGACTTTTAAGACGTCCCAAGAGACTTCTGAGTCTCTGAAGACTTTTAAGAAGTCCCAAGAGACTTCTGAGTCTCTGAAGACTTTTAAGACGTCCCAAGAGACTTTTGAGTCTCTGAAGACTTTTAAGACGTCCCAAGAGACTTCTGAGTCTCTGAAGACTTTTAAGAAGTCCCAAGAGACTTCTGAGTCTCTGAAGACTTTTAAGAAGTCCCAAGAGACTTCTGAGTCTCTGAAGACTTTTAAGAAGTCCCAAGAGACTTCTGAGTCTCTGAAGACTCCTGACCAGGGCGTTCGGATTTGTTGACAGCTGGCGGCTCGCGTTGCTGTCAACGGGACCATTCTCGTCGTGGTTTCCAACGCAGGTAAGGGAACGGACTGAAGTGACCCGGCATTCCCAAGGGTTAAGATCAGGGCTTGGGATCGGGCATGCAGCTTCACGGGGATTTGGTGCCGCTGTGGGACATGGCGGCGCGCGTTGCTGTCAACGGGACCATCCTCGTGGTGATTTCTGACGCGGGTAAGGGATTGAGGAGAGTGGAAATGGAATTATGCTAGTCGACTACTCTACGTCACTCCGCATTCCTCGCTACTCTACCGCACACCTCTCCACCGCACTACATCTCGTTTACCCCCTTTCCCAACCCTCTGTTCCTGCGTCTGTCCAGCCTGCACTGACATACTGGGTGCAAGCACCAGCACTCCTTACTACCCTACCTCACACCTCACCACCGCACTGCATCCATAAACCACCGTTTCCACCCATTCGTTTCTGTATCTGTCCCAGGCTACACTGAATGACATGCAGGAGAACTGGGTGCGCACATGCAAGACCACTCCTCACTTCTCTGCACCGCACTGCATCGTGTTAAACAACATCTCCACCCCTTTGTTTCTGTATCTCTCCCAGGGTACCCGACATGCTGGAGATCTGGGCGCGTGCAACAGCACTGCACTACCCTACCTCACACCTCTCCACCGCACTGCATCTCATTAAACCCCATTTTTCCCCCTGTATCTGTCCCAGGCTACACTGACATGCTGGAGAACTGGGTGCTTGCAATGGTAAACCTCGCCAACCAACCTATTTTCTCCTCTCCACCGCACTGCATCTCATTAAACCCCATTTTTACCCCTGTTTCTGTTCCCAGGCTACACTGACATGCTGGAGAACTGGGTGCGTGCAACAGTAAACCTCGCCAACCTACCTCACTCCTCTCCACCGCGCTGCATCTCATTATACCCCATTTTTACACCTGCGCGTCTGTCCCAGGCTACACTGACATGCTGGAGAACTGGGTGCGCCACGTCAGCAATGCGGGGCTAGGAGCGCACTTCATTCTTTTCGCAGAGGATGAGGAGACTCTTAGGTTCGGCCAGACCAGATGGCCCCGGCAGGTGAGACATGGTTGGCTGCAAAGGAGTAACATGGTTATTTTTGAGTCTAGACAAGTTTGGGGCTGGGAGCGTATTTCATTCTCTTTGCCGAGGATGAGGAGACTCTTAGGTTCGGCCAGACCAGATGGCCCGGGCAGGTGAGCGTGAGGCATCGGGGGTTGCAATGTCAGGCAATGCATTGGGGTAGGCATGGGTTAGGCATGACCCTTTGGTTCGGCCAGACCAGATGGCCCGGCCAGGTGAGGCACTGGCAAGTGAGGCGTGGTTAGGTTAGGCGTGTGGTTAGATTAGGCGTGGTTAGGTTAGGCGTGTGGTTAGATTAGGCGTGGTTAGGTTAGGCGTGTGGTTAGATTAGGCGTGGTGAGTTGAATGGGCAGGTAAGGCATGGTTAGGTTAGGCATGGTTAGTTGCAAAGGCAGAGACATCATATGCTGCAAGGGCGAGTGAGGCGTGTATGTACTAATCTTCTCTTGCCCATCCCACCATCGCCCCTCTCACCCGTCCCCCCACAGACAATCCGCCTGGCCCTTCCTGACCAATCACTCTCCGCCACCTGGCAGGCCTCCTCCGAAGCACTCTTCCCACACTCCCCACACTCCGCCACACGCGCAGGCACTCTCTCCTTCCACCTCCTTGCCTCCCGCCGCATTCTCTACCTGCTCCACCTCCTCTCCTTCGGATTCAACCTCCTCTATTCCGACACCGACGTTGCCATTCTGCGCAACCCTCTCCCAGAAATTACCGCCGATCCCAAACAGACATTTGACATGGCAATTACTCTCGATGGTTACGAGTCGAATTGGCAGAAGAAAGCGGTTCAGGTGGAGAGTTACGGCGTTGCGAAGCTAGCTGACCGAAAACTTTCCGTTTCGAGCTCGCTGCTTTTTCTCCGCCCGACGTCGGGAGCTAAGTGTTTGGTGGGGGACTGGGCGAACAGGCTGATGAAGTTAGGGAGGGACGAAGGGACAGAGCAGGAGCACTTAAACGCGCTGATTGTTGAAATGGATAAGTTCGGTCTTTTGCCGAGAATCGCCGTGCTGCCCGCGCAGAAATTTTTGTCCGGGCAGCTGCTGCTGGAGGATGATTGGGCGACGGTGGAGGCTTTGAAGGGGGAGCTGGTGACCGTGCATGCGGGCGGGCTGATGGGAAAAGACGCCAAGAGGTATGCTCTGAACAAAATAGGGGTTTGGATTGCCGAGTCGGATGCAGCAGCAGCGGCGGCAGCAGCGGCGGCAACGGGGGAAGGGAGTGGAGGGAAGGAAGCAGCAGCAGGAGGAGAAAGAGGGGAAGCAGCAGCAGCAGCAACAGCAGGAGGCGGGGAAAGGCTGAATGAAGGGGAAGCAGGAGCAGGGACGAAGTCTGAGCCTGCTTCCTTTTCAAACGAGGACAGCAAGTGGCCTAGCACGACCGAAACCAGCACCCTCAGCAGCAGCAGCAGCAGCAGCAGTGTGGGTGCAGGGGACAAGGGGCCCTTCTGTGTGGGGCTGCTGTGTCCTGAGATGCATGTATCGGAGGAGGAGGTGGTGCTGCTGTCCGTGCAGCCGTGGGTGCCGCGTCACGTTGAGAAGATGGATGCTCTTGTTCCCATGGTGGCTTCAGCTGACCGCTTTGTGATCGTCACTGCAGCCTGCAAAGGTGAGTCCATGCATCCATACGCATGTGGGAGTGGAGTGGCAGCACTCGGGCCCTTGCTGTGTGGGGCTGCTGTGTCCTGTCCTGAGTGGGAGTGGCAGCAACTGGGGCAGGTGGTGTGGGGCTGCTGTGTCCTGAGATGCATGTATCAGAGGAGGAGGTGGTGCTGCTGTCCGTGCAGCCGTGGGTGCCGCGGCATCTAGAGAAGTTGGATCCCCTGGTGCCCATGGTGGCCTCAGCCGAGCGCTTTGTGATTGTGTCTGTGGCGTGTAAAGGTGAGTCCATGCCAGTGTGGGAGTGGCAGCAGTAGGTGAGTGCGTGTGTGGGTGTTTCTGTGTCTGTGTGGGGCTGCTGTGTCCTGAGATGCATGTATCGGAGGAGGAGGTGATGCTGCTGTCTGTGCAGCCGTGGGTGCCGCGCCACGTGCAGCAGATGGACCCTCTCGTGCCCATGGTGGCTTCAGCCGACCGCTTTGTCATCGTTACTGCGGCGTGCAAAGGTAGGCTGTAGAATGCTGTTGCTGCTGTTGTGGTGCAGCCGTGGGTGCCGCGTCACGCGCAGCAGATGGACCCGCTTGTGCCCATGGTGGCTTCAGCCGACCGCTTCGTGATTGTTACTGCGGCGTGCAAAGGTAGGAGTGGAAGGGTGGGTGTGTGGGTGGGTGTGTGGGTGGGTGTGTGGGTGGGTGTGTGGGTGGGTGTGTGGGTGGGTGTGTGGGTGGGTGTGTGGGTGTGTGGGTGGGTGTGTGGGTGGGTGTGTGGGTGGGTGTGTGGGTGTGTGGGTGGGTGTGTGGGTGTGTGGGTGGGTGTGTGGGTGTGTGGGTGGGTGTGTGGGTGGGTGTGTGGGTGGGTGCAGGTACAAGCGGAACAGTGGGTGTTTGGGTGCATGCGAGGTTGCATGCGAGGGTGGAGCGTCACACGTGCAACAGATGGATTCTCTTGTGCCCATCCCTTATCCCCATGTTTCGTGTTTTGAGTCCGCTCAAAACCCATCCCCTATCCCCATATTTCCCTATCCCCTTACCCGCCATCGCTATCCCCTTACCCTCTCCTGCGCCCTGACCGCTACCAGGGCAAATGCATCTCTTCACCAACTGGTGTCATGCGATGCACTCTGCTCTGCTCCACTGCCACACCTCCCATCTTCCCTTCGTCTCTCTGCCATTCCCTATCCCCGCATCCCTATTTCCCTGTTCACCCCCCCAACACTACCAGGCCAAGTGCCGCTCTTCACCAACTGGTTCAACGCCATGCACTCTGCTGCCATGGCTGGCCATGTAATCGCCTCAGTTCCCCAGGAGGTGCGTCGTAAGGGCCTGAGGGCATGAGGTAAGAGGTACGTTGTAAGGAAAATGTGTGCCCCAAGGGGTGCGCTCTAGGCATGTGGGTTTCGACATGGGAACGTTTGCCGGAAGAGCAATGTGGGTGGGCATGATGTCTTGTCTTCACCACCAACTGGCTCAACGCCATGCACTCTGCTGCCGTGGCTTTGGTGCCCCAGGAGGTATGTCATAAGGGCCTGAGGGCATGAGGTTAGAGCTACGTGCATGAGAGTGTGTAGCCTGAGGGCATGTGGCCGGGCATGTGACTGCCTTGTTATGAGTCGACTCAAAACAGGAGGTATGCGGTAGGGCCTGAGGGCATGAGGTAGGTAGAAGGCACGTGCATGAGAGTGTATGGTCTGAGGGCATGTGGCTGGGCATGTGATTGCCTTTCTCTTCACCATCCAGTACGACGCCATGCCCTCTCTGCTGCTTCTGTCTCTTCACCAACTGCTTCAACTGCCCTCCCTGCCCTCTCGCCCCTCCCCCACCTGCCCCCACGGGTGGAGGGCACGAGCCTAGGCCTTTTAAGGGAGCCAGAGGAGAGCGAGTCAGGCCACAAGGCAGCCCTCACATGCTTGCTGCTGCCCTCCCGTCCCTCCCTCCCTTCCTCCCTGCCCTTCCTCTCCTTCCCCCCTGACAGGTGGAGGGTACGAGTGAAGGCCTGTTGAGGCAGCCAGAGGAGAGCGAGTCAGACCACAAGGCAGCCCTCACGTGCCTGCTGCTGCCCTTGCTGCTGATGGAGCGAGTGTTGAAGCTCGGCTACAATGTCATCTACAGGTGAGTAAGAAATCAAAGGTACATGTGAGAATTATTTCGTCTCACGTGCCTGCTGCCCCCCCTTGCTGCTCATGGAGCGAGTACTCAAACTCGGCTACAATGTCATCTACAGGTGAGAGATAGTATGTTGCCTGCTACAGGTTCTTAAAGGAACAGTGTACAGGTACAGTGCATTCTTTACAAAGGCAGCCCTCACGTGCCTGCTGCTGCCCTTGCTGCTTATGGAACGAGTGCTGAAGCTCTGCTACAATGTCATCTACAGGTACAGTACAGCACTACAGCACTACAGCATGGTGCAGGAGCATGAGGCAGTTTGATCACTTAACCTCCCTCGCTGTTCATGGAGCGAGTGCCGAAGCCTGACTACAATGTCCTTCCTCCCTCCGTTTGCCTTGCATAAACCTCGTGTCACCTCTCTCCCTCACTCCCCTATTACCCTCCCCCCCTCTTCCTCCCACCCACATGCAGTGACATATTATCTGTATGGCTCCAAAACCCCCTCCCTTTCCTCCCTCCCGAATTCAATTCAGCCCTCCCCTCCTCCGTCCCTTCATCCACGCAACCACCTCTTTGCCTCTTGCCCCTCCCACATGCAGTGACATTTCCTCTGTATGGCTCCAAGACCCGCTCCCGTTCCTTCCTCCAGAGTTCAACGCAGCCCTCCCCTCCTCCGTCCCCTCATCCACCCAACCACCGCCGCCCTCCAACAACAAAATCGACAGCAAACTCAAACGCACCCTACCAATTTCTCGCCCCGACTTGGGATATTTCTCTCCCTGGTTCGCCGCCCTTCGCCCATCCCGGCCAATTCTCCTGATGCTGAAAGAATGGGCTGTTCTCTCGTTGGAAGATTACCGAGAAAGAACAGCCGTGGCGCATAGAAACTCCCTCGTGCGCTCGCTGTCCGCGTCGGAGAGCTTAAAAGTGGGGCTGAATGAGGCTATAACGAGGATGGTGGAGGAGGGCGAGCCGGGGTCAAATGTTGGCGTGTTGTCGCGGTGGTTGTTTCCGCCTGTGTGGAAGGTGATGGGGGAGAGGGAATGGTTTGCGAGGCATAGGGAGGAGGTAGTTGTTGTGCCCAATGATTGCGGGGATGATGTGAGCCATAGGGAGATGTGCTTCAGGGATCTGAAGCTGTGGGTGTAGTTTGAAGGAGGGATGTACGTTACGGTACAACTGTTTCCATGTTTAGAATTTACAGATGAAGAAGCTAAGGCAACACACCATTGTTCCCTCCTGTTTGGAAGGTTATGGGAGAAGGGGATTGGTTTTCAAGGCATAGGGTGGTGGTGGTTGCACCAAATGATTGTTAGGGTGATGTGAATCATAGGGAGATGTGCTTCAGTAATCTGAAAGCTTCAGTTTGGCGGTATCCTTGCTAAAAGAAGCTGTGGCGACACATACTTCGCATGCTCGTGCTGTCGCCTGTGAAAAACATCACTTTGCCCGTGGCGGCGTTGTCCACCGCGAGTGAGTGCCGCTCTTGTTTTCGTCAGGTTTCGCCTAAAAGAAGCTGAGAGCGTCAAGTATCGGTAACAGGGATACGTACGTACTTAGACAGACCAAGAGACGGATCTACCTACCTCCTCAACTCTGATCCACCTCGATCCTACCCACTCCGCAGCGCGGTGAGGCTATTAGCAGCAGCTGTAGCGAGCAAATGCATACTCTCGTCTCAATCAAGCACTAGCTCAGCAGAGTGTCGAAGCCCTGGCTTTAACGTCACGATGGGAGCTAGCTCGCCTCTGGGCCCTTATGAGAAGTCTTGACAGTGACTCACGAATCACGATCGTCTCCGGGCAGTCTTAACAGTGATTCACGAATCACGATCGTCTCCAGGCAGTTTCGGCTTTCGACAACGTCTGAATGTACAGTGTAGAGCCTGGATTGCCTACATTGGTTTTGCCATGCTTAGTTTGACACATTGATAAATTGAAGTTGCAACTTTTGAGGCGCCTAAATTAGCAACACGATGGAGGCGCGTTTGCGCGCAGCGGCCTATCAGCAGCGCGTCTGAGTTGACCATCGAGTGCGACGCGTCGGCAGACTTAGAATATGGAGGCGCGACTCCGATCAGCGGCCTATCAGCAGCGCGTCCGCCGCACCGTTGGCTGCGTTCTCCTCCTCTCCCTCATCTCGTTCCTCCTCCTCGCGTCGTTCACCGCAAAAAGCGGCGCCGGCAGCGGCGCGCGCGAGAGGATCTTAAGCTGGCTCCAAGTCTCGTGCACTTCGAGCGCGCCGCAAAGCGCCTCGGGAAGCCGTAGTACGGAAGCCGGCGAGTCGGCAGACGGGGGATTGCGGGGGGTAGGAGGGAGAGGAGACGAAGGGCTGAGCGAACGCCACGTGTACGGTGGTGATGGGTACGGGGGAGGGCGGCGGTGCGAGAGAGTGACTAAAGCGGGGATATGCGTCTCGGATTTCTTCGCCCTCGTTGATGACGTGTACCGGTACGTTGATGACGCGTAAAGGTACGCTGATGACGTGCATTTTTTTACACGTCCTCCACCGCACTCTCAATCCCCGTTTCATTCCGTCACTCCTCCTTTTGAGCAATTTTTTAGAATTGTCCAAAACCCCGTTTCATTCCCTCACCCCTCGTTTCACCTCTCCGTTCTAAACCCTAACCCCTAGACCCATTTCTATCCGCGTTCCTACCCTCCATTTCTTCTCATCCTCTCTAGTGCTCCTTTGGCACTGCAGTCACTCACTCCCTCTGCTCCTCATGCCCTCCCAACCTCCCACTAGCTTCCCCTTTCCCCCTCATGCTCCAAAACCTCTCTTCTTTCTGCGTTTTCTTGATGCCAGTGTCCTTTTCCCTATAATAATGCATCCATAATGAGAATTTTCTTGATGAACCCATAATTGAAAATTTCTTGATGAACCCGTAATGAGATTTCTCTTTGATCCCCTAAACCCTTTTGGCTTAAAAAAAGCAGACCCTGTGATTTGAAGCCTTCTTTTGGCGACACACTTTTTTGGACACTCTCTCCCCCTACACCTCTCCCTCCCTCCTTCCCCCCTCCCCTTTTATCAGCCCCTTCTGGCCCGGAAAGGTTGACCTCGTGATTCGAAGCTACCTCTCTGAAAAGCTCTTCCTGCTCTACTCGCTGCTGACGTCAGTGGAGCTGATGTGGCCGCGCGGGATTGGCCGTGTGGTGGTCGTGCTGGATGAAGGGGATGACGTGGCAATGCACCTCATGCCTCCATGGGTTCAGGTGAATGCGGTTTCAAGCGGTGATGGTAGGTAGCAGGTAGGTAGTTGAGAGTGCAATGTATGAAATGGTGATGTGGTTCTAGTTTCTATGATGATGTATATGTATCACATGCCCTAAACTTAGTATGCTGACTACCAATACACTACTGAATGTAGGAAGTTTCCTTCCCCTACTGCACTCCTTCCAGGTGAAATACGAGCGCAACTACCTGAAGCTTCCCGGGAAGATTCTCCAGCAGTGGAGCTACGGCTGGGTGGACAACTACACTTCAGCTCCCTTCGTTGCTATAGCGGATGATGACATCATCTTCAACCTTAAGGTGACGTCAGCTTCTGCCTCATGGTGACGCCATCTTCTGCCTTTCTGTGGATTCTCCAGCAGTGGAGCTACGGCTGGGTGGACAACTACACTTCGGCACCATTCGTCGCCATCGCAGATGATGACATCATCTTCAACCTCAAGGTGACGTCATAGTCAGCCTCAGGTGGCGTCACCAACAACATCAAGCTGACGTCATCTTCAACCCCAAGGTGATCCCTCACCCTCCCCCCTGCCCCTCCCTCCCCTCCCCTCCCCCCACTCCTCCCTTCCTCCCCTCCCCCCCCACCCCTCCCTCCCTCCCCTCCCCCCCACCCCTCCCTCCCTCCCATCCCCACCTCTTTTCCTGTCCGCCTCCAGGTCACACCATTCCTGCTCTTCAACCTGTCAGACCCATCCCAAGGAAACCAATCTCCAGTAGGCCGGCCGTACCTGATAGGCAGCAAGGACCAAGGATACCACCGCCCCTCCACGGATTTCCTCCTTGGCCGGCGCGCCTATGCGGGCAACTTTATGGTTCAGCTGCCGCTGCTGCTGCCGCGGGGGGCCGTGAGCGGGTACAGAGATGCAGTGGGTGCGGCGCATCCCAAGATGGCAGGGGGATATGACGAGGCCGTGCAGTGGTGGGCAGAGCATGGCGGGCAGTACAGGTGAGTGGGGGCTAGTATGGATTGGGGGATTGGGATGGATTGGGATGGATTGGGATGGATTGGGGGATTGGGATGGATTCGGGGATTGGGATGGATTCGGGGATTGGGATGGATTCGGGGATTGGGATGGATTCGGATGGATTGGGATGGGAGTGTGCGGGCAACTTTATGGTTCAGGTGCCGCTGCTGCTGCCGCGGGGGGCCGTGAGCGGGTACAGAGATGCAGTGGGTGCGGCACATCCCAAGATGGCAGGGGGGTATGACGAGGCTGTTCAATGGTGGGCGGAGCATGGCGGGCAGTACAGGTGAGGCGGTGTGGGCGCAAGGGTTGAGATTTGTTGGGAAGGGTTGGGAGGATTTGGGGTGGGCTGGGATGGGCGCGCCTATGCGGGCAACTTTATGGTTCAGCTGCCGCTGCTGCTGCCGCGGGGGGGCGTGAGGGGGTATAGGGAAGTGGTGGGTGCAGCGCACCTCAAGATGGCAGGGGGGTATGACGAGGCCGTTCAGTGGTGGGCGCTGGGCGGAGCATGGTGGGAAATACAGGTGAGGATATGAGGGATGGGCGCGCCTATGCGGGCAACTTCATGGTTCAGCTGCCGCTGCTGCTGCTGCGGGGGGCTGTGAGGGGGTACAGAGATGCAGTGGGTGCGGCGCACCCGAAGATGGCAGGGGGGTATGACGAGGCCGTGCAGTGGTACGCGGAGCACGACGGACAGTACAGGTGAGTGAGAGTGGCTGTAAAAGCCCGCTGTGGAAGACGGGCTGGTGAGGGAGCGGGTGGACTTTTGAGTCGACTCAAAAGTCAACACGCGGAGCACGACGGACAGTACAGGTGAGTGAGAGTGGTTGTATCAGCCCCCTGTGGAGTGGAAGAGGGGGTGGTGAGGGAGGGGGTGGACTTTTGAGAATTCTACAAAACAACCCACGACGGAGAGTACAGGTGAGTGAGAGTGGTTGTATCAGCCCCCTGTGGAAGACGGGTTGGTGAGGGAGTGGGTGTTTTTTGAGAATTCTACAATTTAACCCACGGCTGGCAGTACAGGTGAGTGAGAACGGTTGTAAAACCCCCTGTGGAAGAGGGGGTGGTTAGGGAGTGGGTGAGCGGTGAGGGGTTAGGGTTGAGGGGTGAGGCAGTGAGAGGGTGAGCGGTGAACAGAATGTGAAAGACACCCCCCCACTACCCAATTGACTTTTGAGTCAACTCAAAAGTCAACAGAATGTGAAAGACACCCCCCCACTACCCAATTCAGTATTGTCACCACCCTCCATTGCACTACATCTGGAAAATCTTACCACCCTCCTCCTACCTACCCCTCATAACTGCTAACCCCCCCCCCCCTCATAACTGCTAACCCCCCCCCCCCCCTCATAACTGCTAACCCCCCCCCCCCCCTCATAACTGCTAACCCCCCCCCCCCTCATAACTGCTAACCCCCCCCCCCCCCCTCATAACTGCTAACCCCCCCCCCCCTCATAGCTGCTAACCCCCCCCCCCCCTCATAACTGCTAACCCCCCCCCCCCAACCCCACCCAACCCCACCCAACCCCACCCAACCCCCCCTCTGTGTTGTGGTGTGGTGTTGCTTGGTGCCGTGCCGTGCTGTGCGATGTGGTGTGGTACTACCGTGGGGTGCTGTGCGGTGTGCAGGGACCAGATTGCCCACACTGTGATGGGCAACTACCTATGGAACAATGAGAAGGATAAGGTGAGAGACAGATGCGGTCATAAATGCGTTGAGACGTCATCACATTCGTTCTTCAACTTTGTTCTCTCACTCACAGACAGTTTTTTCTGTGTGAAGCGAGGTTGTTTTTGAGACGTCTCAAAAACAACCTCGCTTCATGTGTGCGTTGAGACCTGATCACATTCGTTCTTCATCTTTGT